TGACAATGAAGTCGGCCCAATTCTGTAATAAATCTAATTTAATTGTGAACTATTTTAAACATTTAGCTCAAATCCCGAATTAAGCATAATCAAGAGTAGCTCAAACAAACGCTTAAAACAGCATTTCGTTTTATTTATAACTTTCTTATTGAGACGTTATGCATTTCTCGACTAGTTACTCAAGATGGCAAGATAACCGTTCTTAAGCTGGTTAATGCTTGGCGGATATAAAAATGGTACAAGCGCAACGAAATGGATGAGCAAAGTGTGAGAAATAGGACAAGGCAAGGAATTGCATTAACGCATTCAGACTTTTCTTTGCAGGCGAGCACAAATAACTTCCTAGTCCTCGCTAGTTCGTTTGACCGACAGCTTTCGCGTGGATGTGAAGTGGGAATTGGGGTAATTTTTTTTACCAAGGTCAGGCCAACTTGAGCATATGTCTTCTATGCCCAATACGAAGGTTCCCCTATTTCCCTCACACCGCCTTCCTTTTTGGGAAAGGGATGGGCGTGTGCCAATTTGCCAATGGGCCTAAATGCATTTTATGCCTTTGTTCCGTGGCCGTGCTCGACGCGATCGTCTCTAATAACGATTTTGGTCAGTCTGTTTGGCACAGTTTGTCACAGTTCACGTGTCTGTTCGCCCATACACCTCACACAATTGTGCCGAAAGAGCTACATAACAATCCGCCACGTCCCCGCCACACAATCACACATTTCAGACGGTCACAGGGCAGATGTGACTTGTCGGGCGAGCCAGGCCTCGCCAAATCACATTTTCATAATGGGATTGTCGATGGTGCAAACAAGTATTTATCATTGTAATCGAAGATACTACTCATACTCCGTGCAAACTAAGAGAAATTCTTGAATACAGCTTTTATTCGAGGTCTACTGATAGTCCCGAAAACCTATTCAATATAAATGTATAAGTACCGTATTTCCCCATGCATAAGCCAGCCTTTTTTTCCAAAATTTCCAAGCCCCAAAAGTAGGGGGGTGGCATATATATAGAGCAGGTACACGTTTTATGCGTGAAAAATGCATAAAATAATAAAGTAGGAATCAACTGGTTTTTCAGCAGTATGTTGTACTTTTTTGTCAACAATTGTAAGTGATGATATGATTACGAGACGATATTCCTGACCCCACACCTAAGTTCATCATCAACCTTAGGAAGCACTGGAATTACGATCTTTCTCAGATCAAATAATATGGATGAAGTTCCAGTCACATTTGACTGTCCAAGCAAGAGAACAGTCAATCTGAAAGGTGGCAAGACAGTTTCCATAAAGACAACTGGAAATGAGAAAAACAGATACAGTGTTGTCTTGGGTTGTGCTGCTGATGGAACCAAGCTAAAGCCAATGTTGATTTTCAAGAGGAAGACTTTCCCCA